CTAATCCAGGTGTCTTGTGAGGTAGGAACCGTTGTCACCCCAGGACACAGATGACACGGTGAAGTGACTCACCCAAGGTCACACAACTCACCAAGCAGTAGGAGTAGGACTCGACTCTGACCACGGGCACTTCTATACCCCAGTCCCTCTACAGGCAGGAGACACCAAAGAGGAGGCCCAGTGGAGACACCTCTGTGGCACGAGCACCAGGCCCACTCAGTTCTGCTTCCTCTCACAGAGGCTCAGGTTCTTGGAACCCGTTTCTGAGACGAGTGACAAGAGCTGTGGTCCAAAGCAAGGACGTCGTTCCCTTTTGTGTCTACAGAGGCAGACGACGGCTGTAAGGCTTGTACCGTTAGGGCAGCCCTGCAAGTAACTTGTTTTCAAAATCCAAGATCAAACACACAGGGCAGGCCGTGCAGAGCAAGCAGCAAGTGACGTCACAAAACGCTGGCCCTGGGTAGAGAGCTGATTTCTGAGCCTCAGCTCCCAGCCTCACTCGAGGGGAGAGGAGGCAGCAGGCCCACCTGCCCTGAGCCCCAGGGTCTCTGCATTGACCCAGGAGGTGTCCCTTCTCCTGCCTGGAGCCTGGAGCATTAGGGAGCAGCTGCCACCGGAGCTGGGTCTGGGGAAGGGCGGGTGGGGATGCTGACTGTGGAAGCCCCCTTGGCCAGGAAGGCGAGGCCCAGAGGGATAAACGTCTTACCCAAGAGCACCAGGCTCAGCCCAGCCGAGACGCCTCACCAAGGAGCCGGCACCCACCAGTGCCTGGCTCTCTGCGTGGCCTGTGGACCATGGGCACCCAAGGTGCCATGGAGCCCTGTGAAGCTGAGACCTGGAGCCCTGCTCCTGTCTTGCAGAGGTGACCCACCAGGAGAAATGGAGCAGAGAGCTCGCTGCCTGGAGGGCTGTGGCCGGGGAGCATGAGAAAATGATGCAGACCTGGAGGAAGGCGTGGGTACGTGGCCGGAGCTGGGCCTGGGGTGGGCAGGAGGCTGGCATAGCAGCCACTGCCTCCAGGGGGATCTTTTGGGGCCCCTTCTGCCAGTGAGGCCCACATGCTTCCTCTTGGCCTGCAGAACAGTTCTGCTTTCTGAATCTGGGCTGAACTCCTATGGGGGAAGCAGCATAGTTGGGGGCCTTACAGGAGACTGAAGTCAGGCGGGAAACGGTGGGCAGAGCAGGACCAGCTGGTTCTGGCTAGATGCACCCCCACAGCCACCCCCACCCCTGGACACAGTAGGAAACGTGGAGGTGGCTTGCTCTTGGCTGGGTGCCTGCTGGGGGAACAGGGAGCCCGGGGGTGGTGGGAAACCCTCCCAGCACTGGTGCAGCTAGACAGACACTCCTAGAAGGCCCCACCTAGGCGGAGGCGGCCCTGGGCACCCGAGTCCCTGGCGCAGTCTTCTCGGTGGCCACCACAAAGGCCAGAGATTTTCTGAGGGATGTGCTGCCACGCGGAGAAGGGGCTGCCACAGCTCCAACCCGAGGCCTCACAGCGTCCTGGGTTCCACGGCTGCCCAAGGCTTTTCTTGTGCCAACACAGCCGGAGTATTTGTGACTGACCCCTTCCAGGCTCAGCACTCTCAGGCTCGCCTCCTGCAGGCCCTGCTGCCCCCCCCACGGGGCACCACACGAGTCGGGAGACTTGAGGCATCAGACCACATCTGCGAGTCTGTGGGAGAAGTGGTGGGGGGAGTGGGGGGCGGTTGTCTGCCCTGCCAAGAACTCAGACCACGTTCTTCTCTTAGGAAAGTTGCAACCAGGACACCTTTTAGCCGCCAGGAGGCAGTGTCGGCCCTGCTGCCACCTGCCACCCACTCCTACGCCGGCCCCAGGAGAGCGAACTGCCGCCTCGCCTGCACGGATGTGGCCATCGGCCTGCGCCTAACTGGCCCCTCCCCAGGCGGGCACTGGAGAACACAGAGGCTGGCGAGCCCTCTGCAACAGCAGCCAGGACGTTTTTTTTTGCTTAGGTGCCTACATGGGACAGAGGAGCGTGTCTGGCGGACACAGGAAACCAAGATGGGGACAGGCTACCAAGAGCCTGGTCAGGCTAGGAGAGCAGTGCGCATGACGGAGCCTCCTCCAGAAGCACCGCCGTCCCACTCCAGAGGGCTCCCGCGTGGCCCGAGTCACGCCAGGCTGTGCGAGCAGGCCCCTCCTGACCGCTGGTGAGCCATGCCTGCTGCACGTCCCCACCTTCAACCTCAGCCACCCAACCCTAAGGCACACCAGAGAGGGCGGCGAGGCTCCCAATGGAAACGATGTGCCCCGACACTCGAGTGACAGTGAGGTCCTGACCGGGGGCTGACGTGGATCTCAAGTATCGTTATTCCTCAGTAATCTCCGAGTATCGGTCCTGGTTATAGTGCTCTGAGGGTGCTCCTATCCGCTCGCAGCTCCAGCCGTGGGCACTGAGCTTGTTGGTGGCAGAAAAGCCGGCAGCTGGTCAGTCGTGAAGGTGTCACGTCCGATACTCTCACGACGGTGTGTGTTGTTACCCCTGCTTCTGGGTCTCTGGGTGTACCTCTGGACTGCGGTGTGCGCATGCACGTGAAGGCCCAGGCCCGCTGCGGCTCGGCCTGTAACCTGACAGGTACTTCTTCTTGACTGATGGATGACAGTTTTTGATGGAACACCAGTCCACCATAAAACCAAAACCTCTGTTAAAAATACAGCCACACTTCTCCTGTGACCCTCGCAGATTACGGATGTGTCCTCAGCCTCACGACCACAGCCTGGTCCCAGACCCCGCATTCTGAAGCTGCAGCCCTTCGCAGGAGAGCAGCACGTGTTTCCCGCCAGTCACTTCCCGGATCCAGCGTGAACGCGGCGCCCTGATGACAGCTGACTCGGGGTTGCTGTCGCCCTGGTCACCCACTCAGGGGCTGGCCATCTTGCCAAGTGACCCGACCTGGCTCACAGGCCACCATGCACTGTGACTCAGTTTTCTGTAAGACATCCCTGAGCTCTCATGTGGTTCCTGCAGCTGCTGAGTGAACTGCTCTACGATTCAGGCCTTTTCCTTGGTGCTGTTTGCTGTATCTATAGAACTCCCCCTCAAATCTGGATATGGTCAGAGCACCTCCAAGCTCAACAGAACATTCAGACACTTCGGGTTCCCATAATGGGGTGCTCTGTTGGGAAACGTGGGTGTGAGGATGAGTTCTGATTCTTGGCACTGTTGGAAAAAATAAAGGTAAAGAGTTCCACGTTTGCTCAGTGAAGTGAGTCTGTACTTAGGAGACACCATCAGCACAGTGCAGGTCACTGTGTCACCTGCAGGGGTGGTGTCTGCCAGGAAAGTCACCCTGTGACCAGGGCAACCCAGCATTGAGTCACGTGAGAAGCAAACCACCTTGGTCACTGAACGTGACGTCAAACCCCCTCCTCTGCTTCTGCTTCTCTTCTCCGCAGATGAGCTGAACACACCCCACAGACCCCGGGGCCCCACAGAGATCTGTATCTCCAGCGGAGATTTTTAAATGATTTTTTGATTGATCAGTTTTACAACTCTAGGCTGCTGACTGGAGCAACAAGCTATTTAATTTTATCCATATAATTCAATTTTGGAATCTTAATCCTCAACTAATCTCATATTTTCAAACCCATACAGTCAACTCACTACCTATCAACACAGGAGGGCAGGGAAGACCTCCTTGCCGCTGTTCCTCCTGGCGGCCAGAGGGAGGAGCCCGCAGACAGGACCCAGGGTTCGTGACCAGGACCAGGGTGACCAGATAGTATGTCCCCCGTATAAACAGCTCCGAGTGTGTACAGAGAAACAGGGCACACACCAGGACTAATGAGTGTCACAGACGGCAGGACAGACTGCCTCGCACACAACCTCCGGCCACACTGCCAGCCCGGTCCACACAGCGGTCGTTTCTGACTTGTTATTCCACTTTCATTTGCTCACCACAGGCCACTTACCTCTCTGAGGCATGACGTTTGGCAGGACTGAATTCAACTAACGGTATTTTCAAAGCCAACACAACACGCGCCTGCCTGACGAGCACAAAGCAGGGCAACTTCATTCCCGCCACGTCCTCTGTGACACGCAGGCTGGACTGAGGCCGGGGCCCACAACGGTGTCTCGAAGGGTCTGAGATTATAGCAGGTCCAGACACAGCAAACCTCTCCCTGCTCCGTCCCCTTCAGTTCAAAGAATGCCCGGAAGGCACAGAGCCAGACGCAGGAACAGCCAGTGAGACAGAACCAATGAGAAGCCCGAGGTGACCGAGTCTCCAGCGAAATTAAATAATCACTTTTTATTCAAAATAAATAAGCCCTCTTACTTACAGGAAAATATGAAACTAAACTTCCATCCTCCTGGCCTCTAAGACAGAAACCACATTCAGAATATGTTCATTTACAAAGGAAAGAAAAGATTTGTAGACTATCAAAACTGAAAGTTAGGAACTTCAATTTACATTGTTTCTTTGAAAAATCAAAACTAACAGGTATACTTCATGTCTAAGGTCACAGGTTAGAGAACGAATTTTCATTCTGAGGCTCATTTTAGCAAATCCTCCAAATACCCCTAAATCTTGCAGCTGAAAGGCTACGTCCTGAGAAAGGGGCCCTGCCAGGCTGTGCGGGCTCCCCACCTGAGAGAACCTCCACACTTCCCCAAGTGCTTTCTGCAAACAAACCCGGCTCAGCCATGCTGCAGAGGAGAGGACGTTCCCTTAGCAGCAGAGTACTCTGAGGATCACGTTTCCAGTATTGTCCAGATTCACAGTGTGCTCAGAGAGCCAGAGCTGTATCTCAGGGCTTAGAGATGGTTTCCACCAGCACAGCCGAGCGCCTGTTCACAGGACACACAGCTCGGGATGCCTGTGAAGGCTGCTCCACGTACCCGCGCGCGGCTTCATCTCCCAATGCAACAGTCAGACACAGCAGGTCAATGAGGGAACGAGGCAAGAAAAGGTCCCCGAGTCTTCTTCAGACCTCCCTCCTGACCCCGATACACAAACGCACGTAAAGCACGCCCCTTATAAATTCAGGGCTCTCATCTGAGAGGTGGAGGCCTCCAGTGACTCTTCCAGCTCCAGGGCACATCGACCGTACGCCTCCAGGTGTCTTCTCCAGATTTCAACTGGAAACGAGACAGCGCACAGCTGATGACAGGCAGGGGCAGTCGCGACAGTCTCTACGGGAGAGCATGCTGCCCAGTAGCTCATTTTCCCAGACGGGGCCTGGCAGGGACAGAACCCCGCCATCCCGAACTGTAACCCCACTTTGTGAGCAGCAGCATTACACCTCGGCACACGCCGGTCTTGACACACTCCCTCTGGGACACAGTGGTCCTCAAGCCACCCTCTTTCCGGGTGCTGTCTGAGACACTCACTGACAAGCCCTCCCAACTCCCCAGGTCTGAGAACCCCTCTCAGACAACGGCCAGGACACAGTGGGCCTGCCGCCAAGTGGCTGTGCTGCTCTCCTCGAACCCTGACTTTAAATCAGAGTCCAGGGAGACGCAGAGGATGCTCGGCCCCAACCCCAGACCCTCCCCAGCACTCACTGTAGTGTGGCTCTTCTTTCCCAGCGGGAGCCAGGGGGCCATCTTCTGCAGAGCAGCCGGGGCCCTGTGTGGGCGGGCCAGCAGGCGCCTGAGGCCCAGGCTCTCCCACCAGCTCCTGGTGCACGTTCTCCAGCATGGTCCTGTACGCCTGCCGGGCCGCCATCGTCAGCTCGACCATCTTGTGGAACTGGTCCTTGGGCAGAAGTGAGAGCACAGATGACGTCCCCTGACCACAGAGGACCTGGGTCCCCTGCAAACCAGTGTCAGTGCCCTCCACAGGGAAGGAGAGTGACATCCACTGGGGGTGCTGGGATGCCGCCCTGAGGGAAAAACAGGCTCCACTTCAGGCCTGTGTGAGGCACCTCTGTGGCAGCAGCAGGAAACTGAGGCCACCGTTTCACAAGGAGCTCCGCCTTCAAAAGCGCTGCCCTCGAGGCTCGGGGCTGCTCTGCTGGGGAGTACAGACAACCACCATCTCTCTGGCTCCCTCCCACGAGCAGGCTGGACAGGCTGGAGCCCCTCCCGTTGTCTCACCTGGGCTCCATCGTAGCTGAAGATCCCCACCACGCTGACAGGAACGGCTTTGTTCAGACTGCGCCCCAGAGCTTTGCGGTTGAGTGCAAACACACAGGGAATGTTCTGCTCACAGGCGTAATCAATGATGGTGTGCAGGGTGTCATCCAGCCCACCTGGTCGAAGGACAAGAAAACAACAGGGAATGCATCACGGGAGCGTGGTGGTGACACTGGTGGCCAAGGGCCATTTTCTACAGGCAGCAAGGCTCCCCGGCTACTTGGTCACTCGTCAGTGGCCCGAGCCAGGTTTCCCTGGGAGAGAGTGAGTTACTGTGATGCAAGTACCCGTTCCTCTCAGCCACAGGGAGAAATCAACTCTCCAAAACAGACTTCCTCAGAGTTAAACGCTGGCACTGCTGCCTACCGGGAAAACAAAGTCTTAGTGAATATCTGCTGAACACTCACTATGCGCCAGGCCACTGGTCTAACCACTTCGTGTGCATTAGCTCCCGCATCCTCACAAGAACCCTGAAAGGGGAGGCTGGACCCACTTACAGATGGAAATCTGGAGCACAGAGAGGTCACTAAGATCCTTCCCCATGTCTATGGCCCCAACGACATGACTATGCCATGACTCACCACCCTCCACCACCTTCCAGTGCCTGCCAGCAAGGCACCAGCCAGGCCAGTGCTCAGGAAGAGCAGGGAGGGGCCCTGCGAGCCGAGAGAAGCGAGGACAGCTGTGTGTGGGAGTGCTGTGCCGCCAGACCAGAAGCCAACAGCACTGAAGAGTTCCTACCAACAGAGGGAATTAAGTACGGGCGTACGCCCAAGTAATGCAGAATCACCACTCTTCAGACATGCAAACAGCGCCCAGGTAGAACGTATAACGGAAGAGATAACCCCACTTACAACACAACCAAAAATCACAATAGGGAGGAATAAATTTATCAAGAAACACAACAGACTGACAGGGCAATGTCAATACACTATTAAAACACAACAGAAGGGCCAGCCCCGTGACACAGTTAAGTTCAGCGTGCTCTGCTTCAGCGGCCCGGGTTTGCGGTTTGGA